CTATATTCACTTTCATTTTCCATCCATGAGAGCAATGATGTTGTAGGTAAAGCAGAATATGCCCAGGCTTTGGAGTTAGAGTGGCTTAAGTCTGAATTCCAGGTATGCCACTTTCACACTTGTATGAGTCTTGAGACATCATCTAGGATTTCAATACTTGATTTATTCATCTATAAAATCTCATGAAGTTACAGAGAAGAATAAGTAATATGGGTAAAATGTACCCCAAATTTCCCAATAGAAGTTCCATTCTACCCATTCCACTTCCTTATCCACTACTCTATCTGATTCTTTTGCAGACAGTCCATACGTGGAGGTGAAACAGCTAGGCTCCTGTTTATTTCTGCGTTTCCAGAAGCAGAATTAATTTTAACTGGAAGGTCATTTTCATGTTTTTCTGCATGATATATATTAAACATTTATATTTATAAATATATTTATCTGTATCTATATATATCTCACATGTTTAATTTATTGCACATATTATATTTTAGGGAAAGACTGTGATAAAGTGTTTCCAGGATGGACAAAACGTTTCCCACATTATATATATGTCTAGAATTGGAGTCGACTGCTCCATTTTTTAAATCTGGGAAGGCTCTTTTATTGCTGACCAAATGGAATGTGGTGCAAATGATACTCTGCCAGTTCCAAGTGTTGCCCTTAACTGGCTTGGCAGCTTCTATTTTCTGTCTCTTGGAAGCCAAATGCCATGTAAGAAGTACAACTAGTCTGAAACCACCGTGTTGCAGGGAGCAAGGCAGATGAGAAAGGTGGATGCAGGTGCTCCCTCTGCCAGCCCGCCTATGCACCAAGCTACGCACTTCAACTGTAAGGCAAAGGAGTGAGGCCCCTTGGACATCCAGCCCAGACAAGTCTTCAGATGACTGCTGCCCCAGGTGACACCAGCTTCAAGTGAGGAGCAGTCAATGAAGCCCTAAATCATAAGCGACAAAAACAAATGGCCGTTTTAAGCTGTTATACTTTGTTGTGGTTTCTTATAAAGCAATATATAACCAGAACAAGATGCTCTGGAATGAAGTCCCAATTTCAAATATCATCTCTGTGCAGTTCAAGATAGAGTAAGAAAATATTCAAAATCCTCCTAGAAAAAGGTGAAATAAAAGCACTGCTTCTCTTCATTTCCAAAACACTCAAAGTTTCCTACTGCATATTAATTTACAGAATATAAGTACAGCTTATGTCAATAGAAACCTTTTGAAAAGTTTAAAGAAGACCAAAATTAAAAGCATTAAAGATAAGTTCTACATAATACTTTTTTTTTTTGGTACCGGGGATTGAACTTGGGTCCTTGTGCTTGCGAAGCAGGCGGCAGAACCACTGAGCTAAATCCCCAGCCCTACATAATACTTCTTATTTCTCACCTACTTCAAATATGAAATATTTAAAGAAAATCACCAATTGCTGAAAAATATACTGATTATAAAAATAAGAAGTGAATTTCCTTGGGTGTTTAACCCCTTCTGCCCTGTGAAATCATAATCCAAAAGCTTTTGATATTTCTTTTAAAACACAGATTAATCTTCAAAAATATAGGCATTTTAAAGATCAATGTTTATCACAAGGGTACACTATTTTCCTAATTACTTTAGTTCAAATAGTCCCAGTGTCCAGAAATACTTTTTCTTACTAATAAAGCCAACAATATTCAGAACTACAACTTGATGAAATCCATTTCAGAACACATAAAAAATTACTTAGCCAATGT